CTTCTGACACTTTTGTTAGAGGCTTTTTCTCCCCTTCTCTAGTGTGTTTATATTTTTACAGAAATTGTGCTTCACTTTGTATTTTCTTTTTAGACTGAATTGCAAGTATAAGTAATGAAATAATGTCATGAGAGGAGAGTTATATTCCAAAAAAAAGAGCTTTCATGACAGTATCTTGAAGGGATGATGTGGTATGTGAGTTAAATTAGGTTATTCCTCCTGTTTTCTAGTGAAACAAAAGATATTAAATGAGTTACTGGGATTTGTTTTACTTAGTCTGGTCCATGGTACAGATATAGATATAAAAGATACTGATATAAAAGCATTTTTTAATGCAGAGCCTACAAGATAATTACTCATCTTTGGGAGAAAAATTATTCAGGATTTAACAATATGAATTATTGGAGTAATGGAGAAGTGTTAACTTCTTCACTGGATTCACCACTGCCAAATTAATAAATTCAGGAAAATCCAACTCAAAGTGATTATGAAGATGAAACAAATATTTCAAATTTTCTTAAAGAAGTAATAATCTGGCAATAAAATGTTTCTTTGAGAGCAGAGCACAATGGACTCAATGCATAGATGAGCATTTCGTTGTTAAAGCCTTTTTGGAAGTGACAATAACAGCACATGGCTCAGCAGTAGGATTTGCTGTGTGTTTCCTGACAATAATTAAGTACTAGTGTGTGTTTGATAGAAATTGCAGTTAATAGGTACTTCAAATTTTTCTCAAAAAGATAAAAAAATCAAATGTTACTGTCCTATGTGATGGTCCAGTACTTGTGTACTGCAGTGTTGTACTCTGAGGGGTTATTGGCAAGGGCCTCTTTATTTCACCTTTCCTGAAAATAAGGCTCTTTAACCCTGTTCCAAAGTATTTGCACAAAGTGCTTAAAAAGATTGGAGACAGATCAGTGGGAGGTTCAGTGCTTATTTGTGCATTCCATTGGCCTTGGATATATGGACTGAGCACTGTAGGAAGTTCTTACGGGTTCTTACTCATAAGGGGTTCTTCTTGAGGACATTGGAAAGATTCCTGACAGGGACAGAGGTGACACCATGACAGGAGAGAGAATAAAGACAAAAAAATACCTTTCTTGTATTTTAGAATATGAGCTGGTATCCAAGGCTGACAATGGGCTGACAAACCAGCTTTGATAATGTGTAACTTGTTACAAAGGTTTTATAAGGAAATAAAACTAATCAGCAGTTTGGTAGCAAAGACAAGGAGAGTTGGTGGCACCTGAAATTTGGCCTGCAGAAGGATGTCCTTGGGCAAAGAAGCAGGCAGTGGAAGTAGTCTAGGAGCCATGAGAAGTTTGATTTGATGGTAAGGTATCTCTCAATGTGATAAAACAGCTGGAATAAAATATGTACAATAATTGTTCTAATTATTAGCAGTTGCACAAAGATTCTTTAATTTATAGCTGTAGAAGGGAAAGGGTAGCGAACAAGACCCTGTGTGCAGTTTCTTCAGAGGTTTTGGAAGCAGATGGATACCTCTCAAAAGTAGTTGATTAAGAGATGAAAAGTTCAGGAAAGAACAAAATTTCAAAATCGGTTTCATTCAGTTTTTTTTCATTCAGTTTCGTTCAGTACAGTCCTGTATCTTGTTACCAGAGAGGAGCCCAGCACCTCCTGTTCCACTGCTCCCCTTGAAGAGGGTGTAGATTGTTCTGAGGACACCCTCAGCCTTCTCCATTCCTCCAGTGTTTGTTGGCTGCATCAGATAAGCCTCAGTTGTCATTTGTAGTATGAAGTGCCTTAATCTACTTAATTGTTCCTGATATGCGAATGGTTCTAGACTGCTCGTCATCTCCAACATAGTTTCTGATGCACTTCCAGTTATTTTATGTTTGGGGTTTTTTTAATGTGGAAATAAGCTGATTTAGGAAACAAGTCTGTGAATACATAGTGGAGTAGTGAAGTTTTGTGTGTACTCTTACGTTTTCTAAAACTGTAGTTTTTAGTGTCCTGACCTCTGGGCCAGTCTTAATTCTAGATGTTCTATAGGCAGTCATAGTGCAGAACCTGTTAGTTTGTGTAATGGTAGGATATATAAATTTATATGTGTGTGTATTAACTCCCAAGAGTCCCTCCCCTCCTGCAAGTTGGACTTTTTTAGCTATTTTCTTTTCTAAAACATCCAGGTTGGGATTCAGCTACAGATTAGAGTAGGCATCTGAACCTCTGTTGCAGTTTATTGAAAAATAGTGCACATACTTTTATTTGTTCCTTTTTTCTGTAATTTGTCTCTAAAGCATTGGCAGCACTATCCAGTGGATTACTGTAAGAACAGCTCTACCATGAGACACTCCTTCAGTTATTCTTGATTGTGTAGCAAAATCTGCATGTGCATGTAGGCATTCATATATACAAACTGATCTGCACTGGAGATTGAGGCTCACTCTGGGAGGTTTACTGATTCTGGGACAAATGAAGGAACGGCTTTTCTGAGTATTTTGTTTTACTAGGATTCTTCCTTTGAGGTTAGAGTTGGGTTCAGCCTTTCAAGTGATACCTCTTAAACCCTGTTCTTGCCTTACTGAGCTCCTATTGCCCTTTCTTAAGCTTTTTCTTTTCTGATAATTGTGTGCTTGCTCTGACTTCCCATAGAATTGCTGACTCCCCATACCACAGATGTACATTTTACTCTTAAGTATTTTTAAACATAATTTTTATAGCTTCCCTTTTCAAATTAAGGAATACTTGGGCAGATCTGTTGTTTTTGCAAAGGTTCCTGTTCAAATGGTTCCTCAATATTTTGAGTCTGTTCATTGTAAATATCCATCAAGCTTCTTTAGTTTCCCTACGACTTCTCTTAGAAATAACAATTCTTAAATTAAAAGAATATACAATTTACACTACATCAACTTCTATGCAAGTTAGAAGAAGTAACAATTCACAGTTTCTAAAATTTCCTCCTAGCATCATAACCTTCTACAACTTAAGTCTGTGGTGCTGATTGAACTCTCCTGTTCAATCCTGTCCCTGAGTTTTGTTTTGGTGCTTTTCCAGTTTCCTCCATCCTGGTGCAGTAACCATAAGAACCATACATCTCAGATTATGAGATCGTGTACGAGGAATGAACAAAGCTATGAAAAGATAAGATCATAATACAAGAGAAATATCATTTCCCACTCATCACCATTCCAATCCTATTAACTGCTTTTTGAAATGCAGAAAAGACCTCATCATATGGATCTGGTTTTGTAATTTCTTTTCAAGAATAAATCTATCCTACCTTGAAAAACTGTGCCTTTTTTCTTCCCTTAAATGTTTTTCCATGTTTTTCAGCATATCCCATTTCCTGCTTTCACTTGCACCCTGCCAGAAGGATGCTGTCATGATTATGCCTAGTGACTCTTGAATCTTTTTACTGACCTTTTTCTTTCTTTTTTATTTTTTTTTTTTTTACTTGATATTGACTGTAGTCTATGCCACTAGGTTCATTTCCCTTTCTCTGGCTTCTCTTGGAAAGTATCACATTTGCTATTTCTTTATATTACTTCAGTGGGCTGTGTCTGGGAACTTCACTACTCCCCCCTGCCCCCACTAAAATGAAGTCAAATAAGCAGCTGATACTTATCCTGAGGAGGCGTTCTACAGGTTAGCCAAAACCAAGTAATAAGCACAGTTTTAAATCACTCTCTAGGCTTGTTTGAAATACTTTGTGGCTGTATTTTGGTCAGTAATTAAAATTAATGAAATCTATCTGGGTTGTATCTTTACATTTTTTGCATTCCTCATTCAGTGATGCAGTTTTTTAAATGCTACTTATTTGTGGTAAAAGGATTGCCTTTTTTTGTTTTCTGATTTTTTTATTGATGTGAAATTATATGACTTGTATGAAATGGGATAGGAAATCCTAAGGCCAAATCTGGATCTTTGTAATACTGTTCAAGTTGGAAAATTTCTACTAAAATGAGGACATTTTTACTCAATTATTGTTCTTGAGATTAATTAGATAATGCCTTGGTAGGTAGAAAGATAAAGCAGAGCTTGTGGCTTGTTTCCTTCTGTGTATCTGTTAGAGTACATGATAAGGGTCTGGCTTCTTTGGAACAATTCTATTGCCAACAGCAGTCATTCAGACTCAATTATAGTTCATGGGTTGAAATTATATCCATAAAAAGATGTCTATTAGCAATGTTTTAGATGTCCTGTTTGAGAGTAAATGATGCAAATTTCTCACAGATTACTGTACCTCTAAAGGTCTCTTGCTTTACTAAAGAGAGTCAGAAGAAAAAGCCGCTTCTAAATAGATCAAATGTTTTTTGAAAACTGTTCCAACTCATGTCTTATAGTTTTCATCCATATGTTAACTGTCTAAAGTAATGGGATGCAAGTTAGTGCTTATCATACTTTCAGAATTTTTAGACCAAATATACTGTTATTTAGTGTTCTTAAATACATGTATGACATCAGGTTACATCCTATAATCACCCTGCATGTTTTATTATGCTTGGCTTTCCTGAAACAGATGGAAATCTCTTCAGAAGCAGAAGAAAATGTATTTTTTTGACCCACTCAGTATCTCACACCCAGTGGGATTTTTAGGTTGTGTTCAGAAGCTTTCACAGGATCAGAAGGGAGTGGCAACTGATTGCTTTGTGCAGGGTTTGAGTATGATATGGCCTGACACCTTCAAATGAAGCTGTTATTATTCTGTGCTTGTGATTTCACATACTAGAAGTCAAATTGCAGTGAAGTTGACTGATTCCAGCAGATTGTTTTGGGTGTGTCTGCATGTGTGAGAATGACTCAAGCCAGGACAATACATCACTGAATCCCGTGTCCAGTTTGTATCTTCCAGCATTTTTTGCATAATGCGTGTAATCGGATTTAAGCCTACAGAGAAATGACAAACTCTGAATCTCTTTTCGATTTTTTTTCTGGCTGTAGCAAAGCAGAACTGTCATGATGTGGGGGAGGGAGGTGTTGGAAGGGGAGCCCTGGGTGTAGTGTTTAATGGTGAGTGATCCGTGTGTTCGCAGGGGCCGTGGGGGAGTGCCTCCACCACCAGCAGGAGTGCCCAGAGGGGCACCAGCTCCCAGGGGAGTCCCTCCCAGCAGAGGACCAGTCAGTCGGAGCCGGGGACTTCTGGCACCCAGAGCACGAGGAGTTCCTCCCCCGGCAGGGTACCGGCCCCTGCCGCCAGGTCAGATCCCTTCAGAACTCCGTACAGTCTCTGGAATTAGCACCTAATTATGTCCTACACCCAACATCTCTGACAAATGTGGTCATCTCTTTTACTGTTTCAGACTTGAACTGGTTAATTATTTTCAAAAATCAGGTTATATGTGTACAGCACCATAAAGACATTTACAGTGCATTTGGCAAAATAGTTATGTACCTCTTAAATGTTTAATATTAGGTTTTTGCTTTCCAAGAAATCTGAGAAATCACAATGTTGTAGGCTTTTAACTCTCAACTAAAACAGAATAATATTCTAATCTTCCTAAGCCTATCTTTGTGGTCATGTAGTTGTTTAATGATTGGACAAGTAAAATATTTTTATGAAAGCTTCAGAACTAATCCTAAAATTTTAACAGTGCACAGTTTATCTCAATAAGCCATACATATCCATCTTGATTTTATTGTATTAAGTATTAAAATCATATCAAAACACTTTTTATGTTATATATGACAAAATTATGCTTTTCTGAATTAAGGAAACCTTAAGTTGAACTTACAAAGCAGTAAGATACAGAAAAGAGATCATTAAATCAAAGCAATAGTGACAAAAATAAATTTAGTCTTAGAGAAAAATAATACCTTCAAGGACAATGCTTTTAATGCTTTTTTATATAAATAAATGTTTTAGTGTACCCTCTTTACAGCTAAGGGTGTCTGGACTTTGTTGCTTAGACTAGCAGGAAAGGAGATTCTGCATTCCTGAAGATGGTTTTGCTACTTAGATTTTTTTTTACTTTTCTCTAAACCTTTCTTTACCTCCATTACCTTCAAAAATCCCCACCAAAACCATCTAAATCAAATAACAGGTTTTTTTTTTCCTTTTGCCAGAAACCCAGTTTTCTATATAACACTTGTAGCTTTATTAGGGAATAAGTTCGGCGTGTTGTTAATGTAAACATTTATGCATATAACTGAACAATTCAGAATAAGTTAATGCAGTTCATTAATTTTGAGGAAGAATACTTAAGCAATGTGTTGAAATTTCCCCTGGCTATACTTGACTAGTCAGAGTGGGTACTGAAAATAAGTGGTTCTAACACAATGCTTTCAGAAGAATCACTCCTCATTGAACAGCCTGTTTCCAGGACATACATTCTAAAACACAGAGAGGTGGTAGAATATAAACCTCCTTGAGTAACTTCATATTTATATATCATCTATTATTTATAGCCTGTGTCTATAGAAGTGGTGGGGAAGTAACAGCTGTTTGCCTCAGTATCCTGAAGTATGCTTCACTTTTGGGAGAATAATTAGAAAATAGCACTGTACAGAAAAATAGTGTTGTGCTAAATAACTTCTAAAAATTTTTTTTCAATCTAGATCACTTATTTTCTTAAAAAGATACCTTAGCTGGGATAGATACAGTTAGATAGGTGAAGCTGTAGTTGATAAAGCAGTGCTAGGTGGTCTTTTTTCTTTAGAAGAAATTCAGCAGGTACGTAAGCCACTGGTGTATTGCATGTTCAGTGTTAAATTTGATGCTTGGTATTTTTTTACTGTTTTTTACAGTACATTATCTGAGTGCCTTAACTATGTCTTCTACAGGTTAAGGGAGCATGGTAGGAGTCAGTAGTAGTATTTCTGCCCCTTCTTTACGAAGTCCTTTTTAGTTATATCTAATACTAAGACATTTGCCAATCTGGACAGAGTAAGGTCTTGTTGAATGAGGAGTGTCTGTACAATGAGAACATCAGAAAGACTGGGGGGTTCCATAAGTTATTTTAAGCACCATCAAAGCTTTGGAGACTGAGATATCCAGAGAGCTTACAGAGAAACCTTTAGCAGTATATTGGGTTTTTGTGGCCAGGTTTTCGTAACAGAGGGGTGCAGGGGTGGCTTCTGTGAGATGCTTCTGGAAGCTTCCCCCATGTCCAGCGGAGCCTGTGCCAGCCAGCTCCAAGGTGGTCCTGCTGCTGGCCAAGCCAAAGCCCAGCAGCAATGGCAGTACTGCCTCTGGGGTAACAAACATATTTAAGAGAGGGAAAAACCCAGTCAGGAGCAGTCTGTTCCTAAAGAGCTTCACCCCATGGAAGGGGCCTACACTGGAACAGTTCATGGAGAGCTGCAGCTCAAGGGAAGGGCTCATATTGGAGGAGTTAGTGTCTGACTGTACCTCTGGGAGGGATCTGATGCTGGAGCAGGTGAAGAATGGGAGGTGTCCTGTCCCTGAGGAGGAGCAAGCAGAGACAAGGTGTGGTGAACTAACCACAGCCCCATTCCAATCCCCCTATGTTGCTGTGAGGGAACGAGTAGAGAATTCTGGAGTGCAGTTGAGACTGGGAAAAATGGGAAGAGTGCAGGGGAAGGTGTTGCTAAATTGAGTTTTTATTTCTCATCATCTTACTCTGATTTCACTGGTAATATGCTAATTCCCCCCAGCTGGGCTTGCTTTGCCTGGGACAGTAACTGGTGAGTGATCTCTCTCTGCTCCTAAGCCATGAGACTTTTGTTATGGTTTCTCTCCCCTGTCCACCTGAGGAGGGGAGTGACAGAGTGGCTTTGGTGGGCACCTGGTGTCCAGTCAGGGTCAACCTACCACAATGACTTTCCATTGAGGATTGGAAAGTCCTGAGGATTCATGAAGCTTTTCATTCCCTTAGGCTTACTAGCTTTTGCTTTGTACTCGTTAAACTAATGTGAAACACTGTGCAAGTCCAGGAGGAAGCAAACTGTGTGTGAATGGAAGCTTTGAACTACTCACTCCTTTAACTGTGAATATCTCAAAGGTGATTTAGGACTTTCAATATGTAAAGTTCTTGCCTATTTCCTCTGTTGAGTGCTATTAAATCTACCTTGTTGCAGACAATGAATTACAAACAGCTTCCCTTTTCCTTCACTCCCTTTGCTAACTCTGTGTAGTTCTTGAAACCAATGAATTTTTAACATCTGTGACTAACTCAGTTCTGCCTCCTGCTTATCCTGATATCTTTCCTTCCTCTTCTTGATTAAGGAGCTGGGTTATTTTTGGAAGTTATCATCAAAATGGGAAGGGAATGCCTATTTCATATGAAAAATTGGAAGGGTTACTTCTGGAGGCAGTATTTCACATGGGAAAAATATCACAGCAAGAAGTTGTTAATTTGAGATGCATTTTAATGTGGGCTCAGGATCAAGAAAACTGTGTGAACATTGCTGTCCTTTGTTTAGAGGCCACAGGGAAGTGTTCCAGAACGTTGCCCATTACAGAAAGCTCTACTCAGTGAGATGCCTCGGTCTTCTGTCAGCATTCTGGGGTCTTTGCATTGGTGGCCTTTGAATGCTTTGGCTTTCTCTGCAGAAGTCACACAGTATACTGGACTAGCAGCAATATTTGTGCATCTTTCCAGTTCAGTATAAGTATTTTTCCCACTCTACTGCTGCCAGTCTCATTTATGTATGAGTCTCAGCTGCAGAACTTACTCCTCCTGAGACCCCACCACACTGTACCGTGATGAAGCCCTTGAAGCCACTAAATAACAGTTCCTTATCATTTTCTCTGAAGACTGACTCTTTAATAGCTGTAGCATCAGCTTAGATAGGAAAAATTCTGGCCTCTATGGTCAGCCAGCTTTATAATCGCTGCTCTGACCTCACTGCTCTGGTTGCTGTGATAAACTTTCTCTGAAGACTAAGAGGATTCTAATTTTTCTTTTCCTCAGCTCCTCAGGTCAGGAGAAAACATGTTGTGACGTGTGAAGCATGGCCAGGATTATTTTTGTAATAGTTGGATGAGGTGGATGCTACATTTGTTGGGGCACTTACAGATGGTTTCAGAAACATTTTTCTCTTCATTAAATGTGAATTTTTCTTTACTCATTGAACTACACTGTGTAATAGATAAAAAATATTTTTCATGGATTTTTAAGCTGACAACTTATTCTACTAAGAAATAGAAACTGTATCTAACTACTAGCTAAAAAATCCAAGCTTTTCCACAATTTTCCAATAAGCAGGAAATTAGTAACAGTGTAAGGTCAAATCCTTAGCAAATGTTGAGTCAAACATAGGTTAAAACAGAACTGTTCAGTCTCAGTTCCTCTCTCAACATTTGCTGCTCTTGGCCTCTTCCTGCTGTCATCTTAGCAGCTTCCAACCTCTGAGGCTTTTTTCCAAATTACCAACACAGCAGTGGGACTGAAGCTTTATAAGAGTAGTTTTTTTATTTGATGCTGTTTTCATTTTACAAAGGCAAATATTTTGCAAATATTCTGTTGGTCTTTCACTTCTCTACGTTGCATGATGATTTGTTATGTTGTTTGTGATGATGTTGTGTTAAGTCCTGTTTTGGCTGTTTAATTGTGTTAAATGCAAAGTGAATTTTATCTGAGTTCATAACCAGATTTTTAGGCATTAAGAACTTAAAACATGGATTTAAAACCTGCTGCTTTGGAAGTGTGGAATGTCTACACTAAAAAATAACTTATTAGTCTAGCATGTTGTGGTTAAGACTTATTTCAACACTACTTTGGAAGGTAGATCTAAACATTCCTCCCTGTTCTGGGGAAGATTTGTGTCAGAGCTTTATTTTTGGTTTTGGCTAATTTTATTGGTATCTTCTGGTGCTCAGACAAGGGTTAACTGATGCACTGACCCACATGCATTATTTCTGGCAGCTAACGCTTCAGTGACATTGCTTTGTGTATTAAGAAGTGGAACTAAGATGGAATGACTACCAATAACATATTGGTATTTAAGTATAATATTACTTCTAATGTTAAGTAAATTGTAACCTGAAAAAGAGCACTGTGAATTATTTCCAATTAGATTTCATGATTTTTTCAATTTGGATACAGATAACAGGCCTCTCAAAAGGATGTATGGAACAGTCACATGCAAAAAAAGGTTACTGGTAACAACAAACTTCAAAACCTACCTAAAATGTACTTTTAGTTATTTATTCTTTCTGCAAAACCATGAAGGTTAGGCATGTTAATGTACTTTTAGTTATTTATTCTTTCTGCAAAACCATGAAGGTTAGGCATG